ATGAATGTTTTCTGCATTTCTTATAATATTAGTGAAATAATCATATCCTTTTAGGTTGGCATCAAAATACGTGGAAAAAGCTAAGTCGGATAGTAATCCTCAACCTGGAAAAGACATGGTTGAAAGAGGGTAAAACAAAGGACTGTTCAATCACAAGCCTCATGGAGAGAGTGTGCAGGGCTCGTACACATGTCTTTTCTCATACAAGAATGAGTTTCACATTAAGCTAATAGGGACATGCCCAAACAAACAAAAGGAGATGCCTACCTGTGAGGTAAAACAGTGGATTTTTGGAATTCCCCCGGTTTCAAATTGGAGTTTAGGAGAAATTTCTGGTAAAGTATTACTGTATGGTTGTCGATCTCTTACGCTGATGATACTTGGTCTCAGCAAGTACAGCTGTTCTTATGCTTTTTATGATATCTATGAAATGTGCTTTTTAAAATAGTGTTCAAAGCATTTATTGCCCAGCTCTTCATCGAGCTTCTTAGGTATAATACAGTAAGTGCCTGTAGATCCCATACATTGTAGATCCCGTGGCATTGCAGCACAATTGTTTTATCGATTTACAAAATTAAAAAAAAACCAGCATTTTATTTTCCTTTACAACTTTTTTCATGCAGTTTTGTTTAGATTCAGGTTGCTTTGTGTTCTGTGTTGGACCTTAAATATATTTGTCACCTGTAGCCTATCTTGCCTAATATCTTTGATTGAAAAATAATTTTTCTTGCCCTATCCACTTGTTTTGAATGACAAATAAATTATTGTTTTCTCTACAGACAGGCTGCTCTTAAGTTACTAATCCACCTTATCAATAACAAAGGCATCTTACCAGAAAACGCTAACTGGTTTATTCACCTGTGTTATGCAAACTTCTTTCTCCAATGTCTCTGCCCTCTGAAAATTGGTATGCAGAGCAGGTTATTTAGACTTCAGTATGTGATATTTCCAGAGTGGAACAAGGCTTTTCAGAGTTTAAACAGAACATGCAGAAATAAATGATAGCGATGAGTTGTTGCTGTAATTAGTGATTAGTGTATATTCACAAAGAACAGCTCATCATTTAATAGTTCGTTCACACAAAGACTGTTCTTTCATAGACTGATCACAGATCAGTGTGTGATCTCTTTTTGGAAGTAATTTGGTTTTATTTTGTGGAATCTGAAATATTTTGAAACTATTTACGTAAATGTTTCATTGAATACTATGGTCTTATGACATTCTTTTGCTACTCTAAATTCCATACCTATTTTTTTAATGCCTTTTTCTGTTTCAATAATGTAAGAGAATGGGTATCAAGTTCAGTAAACAACTTTTCAGAGCTTATTAAGATGTATCAGAAAAAATTACCACAGTTCTCAAGATTGATCCTGTACAATGAAGATTTATGTCATTTCTATATGCTAAGTTCAAGGTCATTTGCCTCAATGAAATCTGTCCTTTTACCTTATTTCCATGCTAACAAAGGTAATTTCTACTGTCCGTGTAATAATTGAAATTACATTGCACTGAATAGAAAGAAAATATCATTGGAGTTGTTATAGCAGAAATTGTTGTTTCTTAACTTTTTCTCTGTCTTGTAGATTTGGGGCTCATTTATACTCCAGACATTTACATCACTTTGGCTACAGAAATTAGCTTTCAAATGGAAGCAAAAGTAATTTTAAGGTCCATTTAAACCCAAAGTAGGAGAGAGTATCCTCAGAATGAATAAAGATCACACTGTTTATGTTTAAATAACTAAAATTCCATCAGCATCCTAGGTATAAGCAATTCAGAACAATATTTCCCCTATTGACATTTGAACGTAAAATCCTATTCCCATGAGGGAAAATACAGTAAAGTGGGTGTCAGTGTTAAGGTATTTTTTATATATTTTTTTCATGATTACATAATGCCATTTTTTACTTTCACTCTTTATTTGGGCCAGACTGTTCTTTCCTTATTTTTAACTTTTCAATTCCCTTTGTTCTTTTATGATATTTTAAGGAACCTTCCTCTTCAAACTGAGCATATAACATGTTGAGATGTTTTAAAAAAGAAAGATCTGAAGGTCTCTGCCTAGGTCCCTTTCTTGCTCACTGTGTACGCTCATTATGTAACTTCATAAACTAGGGTATTGTGAAGTTTATTTGCCTGAGTTTTGTCTAGGGAGGTACGTGTACTTCTGAGGAAGTGACAAAGCTAAGATACACATCCCTCACTCGCACCAGTGACCCGATCCCAGCCTGTCCCAGCCTGTCTCCTGATTTTCTGAAATATGCACTTCTCTCCTTTCACTCTTTAAAAACGACAGCTCTTTTTACATAAGTGGTCTAGAGGTCTGCTTCTCTGTCCCTGTGAAAACCCTTTCCATCCGTGCTTTCCACTCCCTTTCAACTGTTCCTAATGACTGCTTGCCACCAACTGTTAGTGCAAGTGTTTCATCATTGTTTTTTGTCATTTGTCAACCATATCAGCTCTGCCTGTGATCCCTTTTTTCTCATTTTTGTCTTTCTTGGCGTTCAGTGACTCCATCCTCTCCCAAATCTCCTCGAATCTCTGAAATATCTACTCAAGCATATCAACTGGAGATCCTCCTGCTTTGTCCAAGGATCCTGCCGGCCTGCCTTGGTTTCTTTCTTTTTTACTTCACACCTTCCTTCTGATGTATCTCATCTGTGTATGGACCTGCTTCTAGCTGTCTTTTATTCATTATTATTCTGAGTTAACTCAGTTCTCAGCTGAATCTGGTACCTTCCCTAAAAACACTGCTCAGCTCTGCTTTGTTGTAAAATCAAGCAGGTTAGTTTAAATTATGTGACTTGATCTGGAACAGAGGGAGAGCACTTGAACAGGTTTGTCCTAGTCCCATTCAAGAGCAATTACAGCACAGACTTCCAGCAAGGGAAGTACCTGCCGTCTCCTGACTGGGACTGATGCTTGGTGCTGTGAATGCATCTCCCCTCCTTGGTTCACTATGAGAGTTCTTGAAAATACACCATTCGTTTTGAAAGGCTGCTTCTAAATTTTTGGTCACTGGAGACCAAAAGTTGTCTTTTGGAGAGGACAGCTCTTGTGATTTTTCTCTTTCTCTGCAGAGGCATAGCCACACCTTTTGTTTTCTCCCTTATATCAAACTATACTCTGTTGGAATTTTTCCTATTGCTCTGCTTCAGAGTAGTTCTGACTTTTAAATTCATGCAACTGTAATGACTCAAACTATCACTCAGCACAGTGGAGCTGACTGCTTAATGGAAAGAACTGTTTTAGAAAGGATGTTCTAATAAATTTGGCACAAAACAGTTTTTTTGAAAATATAATATGCAGACTTGTATTTTCCAATTTTTCTTTTTTGAAGTGGGAATCCTGGCCTTCAATTAGTGTATCTGAAAATTATTTAAATGGTGTAGAAATCAGAGAAAAGCATAGATATCTCTGAGGACATTTTTTCCTGCACTTATCATAGCGTTTTCATGTGTGAACAGGAACATTTGTTATTTATTTTGAGTTGTTCTTCAGTGTCAACTCATCTCATGCAGATTATCATGTCAACACTTCCATGGCACAGACAAGAACTAAAACTCCTCTTCATGTGGATAAATTGACCGTTGATACAAGTCCACTGGCTTTTTGTAAGCTTAGAAATTTAACCAGTGTTCCTGCTCTGCTGGGACAGGGTTTTATATACTGGTTAGTTGCCATCCAGTTGCGGCAGATTTTTTAAGCAAAATTTACTGGCTTTTTTTTTTCAGGTGAAATGCACGTTGTCACTATCATAGATTTTATTATTTATGTTTTAATATTACATTTTCAAGGATCTAATTCCACGGTTGTATTGAAGCCCTGATTGCTTCAAACGGACTCTGTGTAGATGCAGGAGTCGAGAACGATGGAACCTTTTGGCGACCTGGGATCAATAGCTGCAAACCGATGGCAAGCGCAGAGCACTGAAGTGGAATACGTGTCTTTTGAGCTCTTCCTGTCTGAGTAATGCCCTGAGGCCTTGTTGATTCACTCATAATTTTGGAAAATTTAAATAGGTGTTTAAATTAAGTAATCCTTCAGCAAATATTCATTTGGTAAAAGAAAAGAAAAATCCATCAAAAGTTATAAGGGAACAAATTTCTTGTTTTGTAAACAGGACAAAACTACAGAGATTGTGTATAGCCATTGGTATCCCGATCCACATGGAAGTTTGGAACCTTGCTTAGTTTTCTAGACATTAGAAAACTAGACATAGTTTTTCTAGACATAGTCACCACTATTTTCCTAAGAAATGGGATCAGCTAAGAGTTTTAATGGGACTGAAAAATTGAGATCTAGTCTTTACTGTGCTATTCTATAATATATTGTTTAATAATTGTACTTTATCTTCAAGCTATATTTGTGGCTCCATATGGAGATATGGAGCAGAAGAGAGGGAAATGGACATTGACAAGGGAAATACCTCTCTTCTGTTCAGGAAAACTTATGTGGGATTTGTTCAAAAGCCAAGTGAATTAAAAAGTCATATACAGACAAATAATTGTTCCCATGAAGATATTTTCCTGCTCTGAAATGAAAATGTTTTTACCAATTAAGTAAAAGAAGAAATCAAATTTGATCATCTCTAAACTGCAACTCAGTCTGTTTTTTACTGCACTTTGGAATTATCACTAATTTTATTACACATTCTAGCTTGTTACATACAGCATATTTTCATTTTAAAACAAACACCATTTCTCTCCCTGTTGAATGACTCCAGTAATTACAAAACCACCTAATTGATCTTTTGTATTGTTTACTGGCTTCTATGGTGAAACAGAGAGGCGCTTTTTATGGCTTCTAAATTATGTTATTATTTTAGGATTCTATAAGAAAAAACTCTTTTTTTACTTCAAAGGGATCACATTTAAGCCGACGCCTCAAACTTCTCTCTGAATGAATTCTTGTCTATAGATTTTTCAACTGTGCTATGGTTGCATATAAGTACTTTGAGTTTCTGTTTTATTTCAATCTATTATTTGTGTTTACAAATTATGTCCTCGGCATTGAAAGCTCTGCAGAAAATCAGGAAGTGTTTGTTTCTGAATACATTACATTTCTCCCTCCCCCTGTTTTTATTCTTTATTGCTCCAGTCAGTGCGCTGAAGCATGGCAAGAGCTCAAACTCGGCAAACGTCCAAGATGTGGAGGATACGCCTGACAGATGTGTCTTGGAAGAGTCTGAGAGTCCAGGTGAGAGGCATTTAAAGACAGTCACCAAGTATCAAGTGATAAATCTGACACAGCTTTTGGGTCTGTAAAAAAAGCACATTGTAATGCTGTTTCCTTTTTAGCAGCTGCAATGTCAAATTAATGGTCACCTCCAGGGGTCACAGTGTGGAGCTGTTATCCTTTCCTCTTTCATCAAGAATTCAGGTCTTAGAAAGGATACAGGCTTTATGACCAAAAAGAAAGCTGACACTACTAGTTCATTATAATTAGTTTTGGACTACACTGCTTACTTAATATATGTACAATGCCTGACCCTTTGAAGGTAGTGTGAGATTATGAAAAATTAGAAGGACTGTATATACTGCAGTTGAATGTAGCGGTGGACATTCAAATACTGTATCTCTGGAGGAAAGCAAATTGGTAGCATTAAGTAGCTTGATTTTTTTCTTTAAATCAGCTCACAATCATTATTTCATTTTAATGGCTCTTAACATTGATTCAGCTAAATACAGGGACATCCATAAAGTGCATTCTTTTTGGTGACTAAAAGATTTATCTTCATGTAGTTTCATTATCTTTCTCGTTATGGAACATCTATGAATTTTATTAAATGAATCCCAAAGGGAAACAATTAAATATAACGTGTATTGAGTCACAGCTGATTAAAAACATTCTGTGTGACTAGATACTAAGATCTTTTAAACAAACTGTGAGCTTGACCCACATACACCATGTATGTAACCTGCACGTAGTCCTCATTAGTGAAAAAGTTAAACGTCTTTCTTCACTTGGTATTTTCCTTCCCTGCTTTATCTGGTTTCTGTGTACCCTCTTGCATCTTTGTGTGCTGATCCGTGTATCATATTTTTGATTCATCGTCTCTGCGGCCTGTCAGCTTAGTTAAGAGATTTCCAAATCTTGCAGCCTATGCTGACAGGGGGCAGCTGCCAACAGTCCCCTGATCCTTCCCCAAGGAACACTGCTGAGATTTAATTTTCAGTCAAAGGGTGCAGTCTGAAATCCATGTCAGGTCCCCTAAGTCATCTCAGAACCCAGATAGGACCCGTGTCTGGGGGATTATATTTCAGCACACTCCACTCCTCCAAGATTCCTTGGGAGTTCAACTGCTGTCATATACCTGATTTGAACTACATTCCCTTTTCATCTTTTCCACAGAAATGAACACCAGTATTGTTAGAAGAATTGAAACCAATGAATTGTAAATCTGTATTCATTTTAAAGCTGCATAGGCTTGGAGTCAATTCTGTGTGGCAGAAACCAGCATAAAAGAAATAGATAATCTACTTGGGAAGGAGCCAAGTTTAATTCCTTACTGCACCTACAATCTGTGGTGCACGGCACCTCCTTCAGAAACTGTCTATAGTCCCTTCAACAATGATTATGGGCAAAAATGTGGATTGTCCAAGTTCTGATCTGTTCTGAAGTGAGAAAGAATTAAAACAAGGTGGCACCAAAGTGTTCAGGTGCGAATTAGTGTACCTTAAAGGTAACATTAATTTTAACCTTAAATTAATTCTGTGTGGCAAAGTATATGCATTTGGACGGGAACTTGAATATCCCATTCTGCACTCTGCATATCTATATGAAGTAATGGAAAGAATAAAAGCCTGTCAGGAGGTGAATATTGACTGGCAAAAATACATGTTGATAAAGCATCTAAACTTAAAAACTGAGTTCCATTCCGTCCATCTGACATCATTAAACTAGTAATAAACAATGAATTACTCTGGCTTTTGTTTCTGGCCGTTCCTGCATTTTAAGACATCTTGTCTTATAGGTCTGAAAACCTCAGGAGATTTCACTACTGGTCTCAGTGCTTTCCACTGAGAATTTGTGGCTTGGTTGTCATGGAGACATCGTATTTCTCCAAGAATTGCTCATATTGATCCGTGGACAGGCGTAAATGGCCAGACGAATGTGAGGAGTAAAGGGGGTTGGGCAGTACTATAAAATGACCAGAGGTTATGGGTCGGAAATAAGCTCATAGCAAACACTTAGGTAAAGAGAAAGAAACAGTTTCATTTTGTTTCAGGATTTCGTTTTTGCACTTTATGCCATTGTCTTCTTTCACTATAGACTGAAAGAAACTTGTTAGTCACTTGTCATGTCAGATCTTTGGTGCTTGTCCTGACACAGCTGTCAGCCTTCCAGCTCTGTGCAGTTCAGGGACACACAACAAAGAGCTAGGAACATGAATTATTTATTGCTCCTTGTGCGGATGAAATTCTGTGATAAGAAATTAAGACACTTCTGACAGAAGTGCTTGTTTGAAAGGAAAGATTTGGTAACACAATACATTTACTTAAAACTTACCACTTACTTTCAGTAGCAAACGTTGAAACAATAATATGACATTCAGCTGGCTATGATTTTCTCTAGTATTTCTCAAGTGCTTTAACTTTGAATCGTATCTTGGAATTTGAGAGTGCCTGGGAGGTCAGCATTTGGTTTGGTGAAACCTGTGACTTTAGAATCTCTCTCACACATACTCAAAGTCTGGGCAAACTTACAAACTTAATTTATAAGTTTTTATTAAAAAGTCTCTATATGTGTTTTGCAGAGTCTCTTGCACTTCACTTACAATATGTTGTCATATGTGCAAAACTGATGTTAAGAAATATATTGATTTTATTATCTCTTCTGATGAGGAAAAGGTGAAAATATGACAATATACCTGGAAGGAATTCCAACTATTCCTGCAAAGGGTCCTTTATTACAACTTCTACCAGAATCAGGAAGCCTATAGAGCAGCCGTTAACAGACGTAACTGTGCATTGTGTTTTCTAATGGTGAAAGGTGCAGTCTCTAACCTTGACATTAGACTGAGAGTTATTTAAAAAGTGATCTTAATTTTCTAAAATCACATAAAGCTTACTCTACTTATTTTACTTTCACATTTTCTATGTGTCTGCACATGTTCTTACTGCTCTGGATGTGGCCCTCCAGCAATTGTAGGAAAAGGCATATACTCAGATGAATAGCAGGAATCCATTTGACTACCCAAGACACCAATCTGAGATTTACCTGTGATTTCTTGTGTTCAATGTGTGATCTGAACTACTCTCAGAGAGATAATGAAACCCCTCAACCTGCACTTTTCTCTTGGATAATTCACAGCAAACACTTTTCATGTGTGATGGACACAGGTAAATATCAGACTGCAGTTTCTTGTCTAAGTGAAATGGATTTTAGTTGCTCCCTTCATGTGCCTACGAGCTGCCATTATCTGTGATAGTGGCTCATGTCTGTTTTAGCCCACACACAGAGGAGATGCTGGGCTTCTCTCCCAGGTGCCTAATAGTACGTTTATCACTGCCATTTTCCCCACATGCTGAGGACTACTTCTGCTTGACATGCAAAGCCTTGGCTTTTCAAACTTGTCTCTGCTCTGGCCTTGAACATAATAATCAGATAAGAATTGCAACAGCTTTTTGTAGAACTTGACTTTTAATCATATCAACCCCCCATAAAGAATCCACCATCCCTTAGAATGCTTCTTTAATATAAATAAGTATTTCCAGCAGTGTTTTCCATTTTATCAGACTAGTTTTCCACATTTAGAGAAGCTGAGAAAAAGGCTGAAACTGAGTGAACATGGATGTATAAGACTTCTAGGTCTGAGCTATTCACCCGAGTTTTCTTGTACAAACAATGGTAGAAAATTCACACCTCCAGAGGTCATACCATCTTGTCCAGAGGGAGTTGCTTGAGATGGGTTTTAAGGGGATTGAAAATGCTCTGAATTTTGTCAGTCAAAATCTAAGAGGAATGTAGCAGGAGTTGACACAACGTGAGGTGTCTTAGCTTTCATATGTAGTGCAATCCCACTAAGGAGGTTTCTGCAAGTATAGCTCTTCTGAGAAAAAGGAATAGATTTGGGCTGAAGTCATGAGAAACAATGTAGGCACAGATGCCCCTTGCCTCTTATTTCCCCCAACAGTGATACTGCAGTAGACTAGGTAATAGACTATTACTTCACTTGGTAATAGAGGGAAATTGAGTCTCCCTAACGGAAGATTGAGTTGGAAGCTGTAGACGGAAATTAAACAGAGTGTTTTCTATCTCTTGGATGAAAACCATGTAAATGGTAAGAACCCTGTATGCTTATTGCCTTCAGTAGCCAGACAGTCTCTGCCTGAGTCAACTGGTCGCTTCTGCAGCTCGTGATCTCTCCCATCCCTTCATTTCTAAAACATTGCCCATATCAAATTTTTGTCTCTTCATTTTTTGACTTTTCAGGACGGAATGTAATTCTGGGTGTATAACAGATAATAGTGAAAATCTGAGCAGTTTTCACAGTCTTGCTTAGTTGCTTGTCCTAGATAGGCCTTGGCACAGAGATGGGAAAGATCTCTGACTGTCCCTGAAATACAGTCTGCGAGAGACAGAACCATAGCAAATAGAAATGAGAATGACGACATGTATCAAGAACAACATTAAAATTAAAAATACAGCACTAAAATTGTGACTATCTTGTTATCAGGCAAGTTATAATTACTCAATTGAATATTCACTTACCAGCTCCAAGTTCCATCCACTGGAGAATATGTTATTTAAATCGGCAGTGTGTCACCTATATGGCTGTATCAGTACACAGGCAGAATGTAAAAGTAAATATTCAGTAAATTTCCAAGTATGAAGCACCTAGAAAAGCATGATTTTCTTTTTCTGTATTTGCATCATCATGACAAGTAGGTAGCAGTAAATGAGGACCGATTCAGGAATGGAGTGCTGGAGGTTGTTCTTGACGATGATGCATGAAGCAGGAAGAGGATGCAGTGTAGGGGCAGCCCACTGATCACAGGCACTGATAGCCCATACTGCTCAGCGACTGTGTATAAAATGGTAGTGTCTAGGAATTATTCCAGAAAGATTTTCTGGAATTTCCAATGTAGGGACAGATGAATCCATAAGAATTTCACTGCAGTAGATATAGTGTTACATCCTATCAGCATTCTGGGTTACTAGTATCATGACTCATAGGTTTTGTTTCTTTTTTTTTTGAATAGTAAATCAAACTGTAAAACCGGAAGACTACATAGTGGACATTAAGAAAATGTGTATCTCT